ATATTTCAAATTGTGCGCAGATTAATCCATGCTGGGTGAAAAGTAAAGTCTTAAAACTTTTCAGAAATGTACTCTTTGTATTCAGAATGCATTTCAGAAGTGAGTTTGAACATTCTGAAAATTGCAAAACTTAACATTTTTATAAATGATACCTATATAAAACTTAAGAAATCGGACTATATTTCAAATTCGATACAAACATGTGCTATACTAACCGAAATCTCTAACAAATTTTATGGGAGTCTATAATTGACCCTACCCCATATCAGGCCCCCTTCAGAAAATTACTTCAACGCTCATTACTCGCTTAAAAATACGAGTATAGCGATGAACTTGGAGAAATAACTTTAACGCTCATGAATGAATTAAAAATACAGCGATGAAATTCCACACAAATATGGTTTGAAGTTGGGTATATAAGATTCTTAATTTTGTGTTTTGTGCTATTTTTATAAAAAAGAATTAATTTTTATAAAACACATTTAAAAAATATTTTATGTACCTATTTTTATTTATTTTCCTACCAAAAACCCACGTTTTAGTTAGTACTGCATATAACGAACTTTTCAATTTTACGAACAGGCCTGACAACATATACAGTGGCGAGCAAAACTGGATACATATCAATCAAGTGTATGTTAAAAACCCAATAAAATCCAGAAAATATTAAACAAAAATTTTATATTGGTTTTAAAATAAGCAATAGAAGAATAAGAAAATAAAACAATAGAAAATTCGCGAATATTGAAACTTTATCTCAAGTTTTAGCTAATTTTATTAAAAAAGTCTATGTATCCACTTTTGCACGTTTAAATTTAATTAATCTAGCAACACAAGTAAATTTAAAAATAACAATGAATTTGAGTACTGCTACTTGATTTACCTTTGAAGAAAGCATCAAAACAAACAGTTACCATTTTTGAGTCATATTTGTAATTTTTTTGCAAATATTTTAATTTTCTAGTTTTAATTAGAAAAATATCAAGTTTATTGGGAAACCAAATGGTCGAAATGACAAAAAATAATTACTGTGCTCGTCAAATTGCCAAGAAGTTAGGAATTTGCCACCGAAGAGTGCTACAAGTGCGAAAAAGAAAAATATGAGCACACCAGAAGTTAAGAAATGTCGATCGTGTTTGCTTTCGGAGAGAGATGCCAGAACTATGGAGCGTTTATTGACATCCAAACAGGTAAAAATACAAAAAACAGGCTATAGTCGCCATAAATAAGTCCTTAAGTGAATGGGCAGTCCGGGGAGCTCTTCGTAGAATTGGCCTTATATCAGCCGTAAAGCAGAAAACACCAGCGTTATCAGAAAAAAGTGTGAAGGATCGTCTTAAATTTAGCAAGAACCACAAAAATTGGAGTGTTGATGACTGGAAAAGGGTTATATGGTCCGATGAAGGGTTATATGGTCCGATGAAACGAAAACTAATCGTTTTCAGTCTGATGGCAAGGAATATTACTGGCACCGCCCTTATGAAAGCTTAAAAAAGCACCAAGTAAAACAAAAGGGTGAAACAAGCGGGTGGTAGTCTGATTGTGTGAGCTTGTTTCACTTGGTAGAATCTCGGTTCTTTAGTAAAATTAGATGCTATAATGAAAAAGGAGGATTATTTGAGTATTTTCAATCCAATATTCCAGATTTTGTGGAAGAATGTACATATCCAGAGTCAGAGGTTATACTCCAACAGGATGGGGATCCGAAGCATACGGCAAAAATCGTAAAGAATTGGCTTTCAGCGCAGAATTTTCAAACGATGCAATAGCCAACTCAATGCCCGGAAATCAATCCAATTGAAAATTTATGGGCTTTGTTAAAAAAACGTCTTGCGCAATTCGATAATGCACCAAGAAATCTTAAAGAACTTTGGTCGAGAGTACAAACGGAGTGGTCTAGTATTCCGCACCGGACCATTGAGACCTTGGTCAAAAGTACGTCATAAAAGCAAAAGGACTTTGCACAAAATATTAAAAATCAAATTTTTTTTAAAACGTGCAAAACTGGATACTTCGACTTTATTTATAAATATGTTTTAATTTTTAGATTAATATTTAATTATCATGAATTTAATTTTGTTTTCTTTTTATATTGTTTTACTGAATATTTAAAATTGAAAACTTTATTATTTTTCCTTTATTTTATGGGTTTTATAGCATTTTTAAGTCTTATTAGCTAAACATGTATCCAGTTTTGCTCGCCACTGTATGTTCGTTAAATCGGAAAACTACTGTATAACGCTTTTATTAATATAGAGTCTATATTATAGACGAATATTTTCATTCGAAAAAGTCATTTATATTACAAATTTCTGGTTACGTTTCCTTGATCAATTCTGAATATGAGTCGATTTTCTGTGCAATAATAAACAAAATTATGAAAAATATACGAATATTAGAATAGATAATTTTTACACTAAAAATCGTCAAAATGATGCCAAATCGTCAAATTTGTCAACAGTGGTCGCAGTATGCACTTGTTAAACTCGTTCTCTTTTCATTTTCTGTTGTGACTCATAATACAAATAAACACTCTCTGGACGATCCGTTATATTTCGCTCATTGCTACGTATCGTAACACGCTCAACTCTTTTGTTTTCAACTGAATATAAAAATCACTCGTTTTTTTTTCATAATTTGCGCTTTTAATCTGTTAGCAAGAACTTTGTTTTTTTCTACACAAACAGAAAACAAAATAGTAATTCTATGTCAAAATCATTACCTTAAATAAAGATTAAGCAACGGTCTTGTGGATAGAATACCTGCCTTGCAAGCGCGGTGTTCTGGGTTCGAGCCCCGCATCGGCAAAATGTTTCTGTTATAATAATTATAAAGAAAAAGAGCGTTTTTAATATTATTTTTTTAAATTTGAATAATAGTCCGATTTCTTAAATTGTATATAGGTTGAATTTAATAGAGATAGATTTTTTAAAATTTATAACGGTCTCATGTATAAAATATTTTAATTTTGGAATTTTTAGAATGTTCAAACTCACTTCTGAAATGCATTCTGAATAAGAAAAGTACACTTCTGAAAACTTTTAAGACTTTACTTTTCGCCCAGAATAGATTAATCTGCGCACAATTTGAAATATAGTCCGATTTCTTAAGTTTTATATAGGTATCATTTATAAAAATGTTAAGTTTTGCAATTTTCAGAATGTTCAAACTCACTTCTGAAATGCATTTTGAATATAAAGAGTACATTTCTGAAAAGTTTTAAGACTTTACTTTTCGTCCAGCATGGATTAATCTGCGCACAATTTGAAATATAGTCCGATTTCTTAAGTTTTATATAGGTATCATTTATAAAAATGTTAAGTTTTGCAATTTTCAGAATGTTCAAACTCACTTCTGAAATGCATTCTGAATATAAAGAGTACATTTCTGAAAAGTTTTAAGACTTTACTTTTCGCCCAGCATGGACTAATCTGCGCACAATTTGAAATATAGTCCGATTTCTTAAGTTTTATATAAGTATCATTTATAAAAATGTTAAATTTTGCAATTTTCAGAATGTTCAAACTCACTTCTGAAATGCATTCTGAATACAAAGAGTACATTTCTGAAAAGTTTTAAGACTTTACTTTTCGCCCAGCATGGACTAATCTGCGCACAATTTGAAATATAGTCCGATTTCTTAAGTTTTATATAGGTATCATTTATAAAAATGTTAAATTTTGCAATTTTCAGAATGTTCAAACTCACTTCTGAAATGCATTCTGAATACAAAGAGTACATTTCTGAAAAGTTTTAAGACTTTACTTTTCACCCAGCATGGATTAATCTGCGCACAATTTGAAATATAGTCCGATTTCTTAAGTTTTATATAGGTATCATTTATAAAAATGTTAAGTTTTGCAATTTTCAGAATGTTCAAACTCACTTCTGAAATGCATTCTGAATACAAAGAGTACATTTCTGAAAAGTTTTAAGACTTTACTTTTCGCCCAGCATGGACTAATCTGCGCACAATTTGAAATATAGTCCGATTTCTTAAGTTTTATATAGGTATCATTTATAAAAATGTTAAATTTTGCAATTTTCAGAATGTTCAAACTCACTTCTGAAATGCATTCTGAATACAAAGAGTACATTTCTGAAAAGTTTTAAGACTTTACTTTTCACCCAGCATGGATTAATCTGCGCACAATTTGAAATATAGTCCGATTTCTTAAGTTTTATATAGGTATCATTTATAAAAATGTTAAGTTTTGCAATTTTCAGAATGTTCAAACTCACTTCTGAAATGCATTCTGAATATAAAGAGTACATTTCTGAAAAGTTTTAAGACTTTACTTTTCGCCCAGCATGGACTAATCTGCGCACAATTTGAAATATAGTCCGATTTCTTAAGTTTTATATAGGTATCATTTATAAAAATGTTAAATTTTGCAATTTTCAGAATGTTCAAACTCACTTCTGAAATGCATTCTGAATGCAAAGGAGTACATTTCCGAAAAGTTTTAAGACTTTACTTTTCGCCCAGCATGGATTAATCTGCGCACAATTTTGAATATATTCCGATTTCTTATGTTTTATATATGTAGGCCTCATTTATAAAAAATTTAAATTTTTAAATTTTCCGATTATCTCAGTTTTTAAATAAATTCTGAATATTAATACACATCGTTGAAAATTTTTGAGATGAATTGATTCTCAAATTTTTGTATATGCCCGATTTTTTAATTTTTATATCATATTTGATGAATAATATTTTTTTGTTAAAATTGTCTTAAAACTTACCAATTTAATCTTAAAAATGTTTAATTTTTGTTTAGGAATAATTTAGTATTATATATTTATGTTCAATCTGAAAAATCGGTTATACTATTTTTTGACTTTTTTTATGCATGAAACGTTAATTAAGCTGAAATAACTCAGCTATGTTAACCTAGCACTCTCTGAGCGAGATTTATGTTATTAACATAACAGACTTGTTAACATTGAAAAACGGAGCTAACTTTCGGAGCTAACTTCACACGCATTAGATTACTTACCTTACATAATGCTAATAAATTATACAAATCTTCAACTTCATCATTGTCCGTGGGCACATATTGTTTGCCAGTTTGGGTACTTTTTCCTTTAGTCTCTTGACGATACAATGGTAAACCCATTGCCTTAGCCAAGATCTCAATACCCATATGACCAACAGTTTGGTACATAAAACTATCAAGTTCATCTGAAAATATAAATAAAGTTAACTGCTAAATGTAAATGGGAAAACGAGAGTAAAAAAAATAGTTGATAACTTTTTTTTCGCTCAACTTGGAACTTAATTTTTTTAATTATTAATTTTTCGCTTAAATTTAAAAACACTGCTGCAGTATATACTTAAAATGCTGGTCACTCAGGGTCAGCAATTATTTCAGACTTTTGTGGCATACTTCCAATTATATTTTATATTATAAAACATTGTTGTTAAGTTTATTAGGATTATTTTATTACTCATGCTACTTTGTATATTTGTTACAGGTTTTGGCAACAAGATCTAAATTTAAATATTTTCTTATGGAATGTTTTTGTTGTTGTTTTTTTACTTTTTTTTACAAATTTGGACAGTTATGAAATTTATTATGAAACGTTTATTAAGTTTATAATGAAATATTGGATAAAATACTATAATCGTTTAAATCTAATCTAAATTGAAATCTGATTTGTTTAAAAGTCATTTCGTTATTCTCGAAAGGATGGATATTTTGGATTATGCCAAGATTAACAAAGGTAGAGAGTAGCTATTCAGAAAACCACTAACTTTAAGTCAGCAATCCAGATGTGGAAATTGTTGTGCTCACTCAATTACTTGATTATATACTAATATCGTTATCATGTTCTGCATTACTTAGAAGGAGTCTAGTAATGACTTACAAATAATATAACATGTTAGTACTTACTTTTGAGCCTTAACATATTGTATTCGAAATTAGTTTTTTACACAAATTAAATTTTTTTTGAGAAACTATAGTAAACGAAGTGGACGTATAGTCGAAGGCAATCTTTTTGTCAAAAATAAAACTACTTACATACTTAACTCCTTATTTGCAGGAGATAGTAGTAAGTACATACTAAGCAGGGTGATCGTTTATTCGACATTTTTCAAAAATCGGTTTTCGAATAGTTCGAATAGTTGACATTTGAAAAAAACCGGTTGACATTTTCAAAATCCAGAAAAAAACGGTTAACCGGTTTTTCATTATAAATAACAAAATCTATTTTAATTTGAAAAAATGACGTTTATGTTTAAATTTAATTAATAAAACATGGCCTAACTGATTTTTAACAGTTTAAAAGATTTTAACTTTAGATCTAGTCGTCTGATTTACATTATTTCTTTAATGTAAAAAAAATTGGAAACTATGAGGAACTATGTAACTCTAGGTTATTCTTAAATCCCTATTTAGACAATTTTCATAGGCATTCCAACACTTCCATAATATTTTAGCCGCAAATTAATTATTGTAATTGGAATATAATCTTAAGATTGGTAAAATTTTATCAAAATTTTATTGAATACAAAGCAAATAAAAGTATTCGAAACCGGTTTTTAAAAAGTGAAAAACCAGGTTATTCGATATTCGAAAAATCAACATTTAGAAAAAACCGACACTGGTATAACAGAAAAAACTGGTTGAAAAACCGAGTCGATCACATACCAATCATCCTATTTAAAAACGAGCGTGGTAAGTACTTGCCTCCAGCCCTTTTCGGTCAACAGGATACATTCTCATTCAATGATTTTGTTTCGTTTTAGCCTATCGACAGACATTTTAGCCGACGGATAGACACATAATAATATCGTTAGAATTTCAAAATGACCCAGAAAGTATGTAAAACTCTTAAATATACATTTTTGTTATTAATTCCTTGTTTATGTCATATCCCATTTTTATCTTTAGCTTCTTTTTTTCGGCGATATACATTAAAATATTTCGTTAATTTGATTTGGTGATCGCCCATTTGTAAGACGTAGATTTACATAGGGAAAATCGGACTATTGCTAGACTTTTATTTGAATCTTGACCTATTACTCCGAAAAACTAGGTCCCCATGTCCAACTTGCGAATATGGGCTCTAGAGATTCGCCCAGTCAAGCAAAAATTAAATATCTAAATTAGCAGTCCCAGATTTATATAGTACAATACCTTATACCGCTATTTTATTGGAGAGATCTTGACTTAAGCCACATGTTACGTAGCTTCCAACATACAGATTTCCTAATGCTTTATAGAATTGGATCTATCTGTATATATCATGGTTGTGTTATTTTCAAAATAAAATGTAACATTTGCTGCTACTACAGAAAATCTAACAGGGAGAAGAGTAAGACAGCAATAATTAATATTGAGGGGGTGATTCCCCCCTCATAAATTGAACACATGTATATTAGCCAGACAAATAACACAGCAGCAGATTTGTGAAGTGACTTCCACCAAACACATGCTAAATGCATTAGAATGAGCTTAGTAACCATATTAAAAAAAATAATTTCTTAGATTTTGGACTAAAGCCCCAAGTCCCCTCCTGATAATGGTTTAAGTATTGAATTTTATATAAAATCACGAAAATCACTTCTATATTTTAATTTGCCATACGTGTTCAATTATAATTCTATGTTCTCAAACTGAATATTTAAACAAAACAAAAATGAAACAAAAACTTACCTCTATCCTTGGGATGTAAATTGGCTAATGCAACTATTTCATGGCCCTCGGCCACACACTGCATCATATTGTAGCAGCTATCCTTGCCACCACTTACCATAGCAACGACACGCATTTTGATTGATTTGTGGTTGATTTGCGCACGTGTGTCAAAACAATATTAAGATTTAAATTAAGGTACGTGTATAAAGTTTAAAAGAAAATTTTAACACGTTTCTTTTTAAATTTCAAGTCCAGCTCATTGGTAAAAATTTTCTTAAAATACTGTAAAGAAATAAAAGCAAACACATTTATTAATAAATTGCATTTTTTTAAATTGTAGGTAATTATTTTAATTTTATAAAAATGAAAACTATTAAGAGAATGAATTTAAGGCTAAAAATAAATACAAGTAATTTATATAAATTGTTTATAATGAATATTTTAATGGTTTAATTTTCACACCCTACAGGGTGCCAAACGATAATGAAAATATTTTCAATTAAAAGCTCATGTCTATCGTCATTTGAGAGAAAGAGAGGAAAATTTTCATTCATTCACAGACATTTACAAATTAGATTAATATTGAACATGAAAAAATAAACAGAACGTGAAAATAAGATTTAATATAGCTTGCTCTTACCATGCAATGAATGCATTCAAAATTGGAATAGTTCAATTATTTTAGCAATCACAATTTGTGTATTGTACTTTATTGTTGGTCTCGCCAGACAATTCGTTTAATTTTTTTTTATATATTTTTTGGCAATAGTTAGGGATGAATTTAAAAAAAAGAAAAAGTTTATAATTTTCCTTTCTTTTGCTTTTGTTCTTTTAATTTTTGGCAAGCACTTAGACATTTTCATAAATGGATCACTCGAGATTATTTATGGGAAAGTAATTATTTGTTGTTCTTTTGTTGGTCAGTGTAGATTTTAGTTTTATTTTTTTTTATTAAACTTATTAGCTAATTACAAATGTTTTCACCAAAAATAGTTCCAATTATGGGTAAATTTTTGGGTAAAGAAGTATAATATTTAAGAATATTATTCGAGAGGATTTATTAGAAAGTACACAGAAAAAAAGAATTGAGTAATCCGTACTTGAATTAATCCGTAGCGTTGTAAATAGTAAGAACGGTTTTAATAAAATCAAGTACAAAATACTAGATTCAAATATGGATCCCTATTTAGGGTCAATATGATCTTACATTGGAACTTCTATTGAGAATATTCCGTTTGATATAATGTATATTTTGTTTTGGCTATCGATTTGTTTAATCAATCCCAAAATATAAATCCCAACCTCTTTTATATAATCCTCTCTTGCGCTTTATTAAGTATTTTGTAATTAAGTACCCTTCAACTAAAAATAAAAATGAATTACTACTATAGTCTACAATTGTTGGGTTTCAATATTTATAGAAAAAGTATATAAAATGTTGTTTAATAATTATGTTTTTCCATACAAATTGAATTTGCTTTTGTTATGTTTGCCTATAGATGTTGGAACGTAGGTGTTATTTAATGGAATGCAATACAATTTACGTATGCAAGTTTAATTTATTGTTCTACATAGACTTTATTACGTAATTTAATTACGACGACATATAATTTCCATTTAAAAGGAGTCTCTGTCGCAAGAAGAAAACAACTGCAGGATGATAAACAAATACTTGTACAGAAGTACAAATATAGAAGTGCAGATCCCCACTTAGAAGACACTGCATTCGTCGTGCCTATTCGAAAACTCTATTGGAGGTATCAACCGAAGAATAATATTAAAATTCTATGATCTGAAATTCCATAATAAACTAAATATGATACATTAAGTTTTAATAGCGACCTAGCTGTCACAGCTGCAACATAGGAGTCAATAGTATAAATCAATATAGTAGGAGCTGCAATGTCAATTGAGTTTTGTTGATTACCTTCTAATTGCTGTCCGTTCTCAAGACCAACACTTGATGTGAGGGCTACTTATAGGACTTCGGATTCTGACAAGAATTTAAGCGGGACATTGCTCAATTAGGGCCTTTGTCAGTAATATGCGAAGATGCTGAGCAACTAGAGAAGGTTGAGCACTTAATTTCCCACTATTTTAGATTACAGAAACTCAGGTTGAAATAGCTGGGAAATATGTCCTACGACGAAATGGGGGAAAATACGAGACTCAATCCTCGCAGTCTACTAGTTGTTATCAGGGGAATTAGCCATTTATTCGACTGGATTTTATAGGGAGATTCAGATTCTCTCACAACTCTTCTTTAGTGGATCGATATGTTGTTATCAGGGGAATTAGCCATTTCTTCGACAGGATTTTATTCTTTCTTTTGTGAATCGATTTGGTAAAATATCACGGTTGTAACCAACATAGGAATCGACATCTCTTTATTTATTTATTATTTATTCATTCCCCGACAGTCGTAATAACCCGAAATTATCGACAAGGTATTGCAGTCAGATCGGGGGAAACCAACCTAGAGCTCTATAATGTCTATATTCCGCCAGTAGCCAGCTGTCCAAAAGAAAGCAGACTGGCTCGGCTTCAGAGAATTCACTGATCGCAAGCAGTGAGCAAATTCCAAAACTGTGATCGCAGCAGTAGCCTGCTTTGTTCCTGCTGGTCACCTATCCGTAGTCCGTCCGCACTTCCCAGCAGAGGCAGCGTGACTAGCAGACGAGCGCGATGACATCCGAAGTACCAACCACGTATTGTCCAGCTGAATCACGATATCAGCAGGTTGGTAAATGAGGACAAGCGGAATAAATGGTTAGATGATCTGAAGAACTGCAACTTAAGCTCAGGTGTTAGTAAGTTGTGGTCTACAGTTCGGCCTCTGTCCAACTCGACGAAGAAGGAAGGAAGAAGACCACTATTTCGATCCTAAACGGTGCTCTCGTGCATTTTGCCGGTTTTTTTGAGCATCCAGGGAGAGATAAGGCGAAACGAAGTTTGTTCTCAAACTCCACAACCCTTCACCCCTTCTGAAGTTGTAGAGGACATCAATGCTGCCAAACCATCTAAGGCGATTGGCCACGACGGCATATCCATGCTGATGCTGAAACACCTTGGCGAACGGGGAGTCGAGTATTTTACAATGGTTTTTAACCTGTCAATGAGCAGCCAGATAATACCCAATAACTGGAAAAAGGGTAGAGTCATCCCGATACTGAAACCAGGGAAGAACATAGGGTCAACTTCTTCACTGAACGTAACCTGAAACTATCACCAGCGAAGTCTTCAGCAACACTTTTCACCACCTGGACGAAGGAGGTAAACTTGAATTTAGGCGTCGTAGTCGATGGATCCCAAATTCCGACTGTGAACTACACAAAGATTTTGGGGGTCACCTGCCAATATGCTGCATTACGGACTGTAACGGGCTGCATGCAAATAACCACAGAGCACCACCAATACGAGGAAACAAAGTTCCTCTCAGTCAAGGAACATAATGTCATGCTGAATAAACAATTCCTCCTGGGATGTGACCGGAGGAGTCATACCAACTTCAACATCACACAGTTGGATGCTACCCCGAGGCATGTCAGGAAGGACCTTCGTGTATACGAGGAGAGCATGCGAAGATATGTGCAGGATCACTTAAATCGGAGTTCGTATACAGCAGCTTTGAACGACATTCATAGAGACGCCATCCATACCGCGGTTTTAGGTTACCGCATGAATGTCGTTCTTGGAGGTCGCTCATCGCCCATAGCAGAAATAGAGAAGAACCTCCCACGGAAAACAAGAGTTGCTCTGGCACAACTGAGATCGGGATGGAGCAACAGGCTCAAAACCTATTGGTTCCGCATACACCGTGCCGTCCCCAATAAATGCATGACATGATACCCACCACATATTCAACAATTGTATAGTTCAAGCTCTTAGAACATCAACAACGTCTCATTATTCCTCTATCTCTATATAATTTACTTATGTTATTTTTGTTCTTTCTAGTAGTTTGTTTCTCTATCTTTGAATATTTACACTCTACGAAGGGTAACATAATGGACATTATGGTCTCCGACTGAAGTTACAACTCTTTATGGTACATAACCCTTCTTAACCTAAACCTGACGATTGTACGTGTTTTAACTAAAATTGAGCAAAAAATCTATCTGTTATTATTATTGGTTGAATTTTTAGTTTAATTTCTAATTAATTGCTAAAATTCGCACTTTTTTAATTGAGAAAGTGTTTATACGTTTTTTGTTTATACATATTTTCCTAACATTTTTTGTTTTTACAAAATATGTTTTATACATTTAAATAGCTTAACATTGGTACACTATGCTGAATTTCGCATAACTGAAATAACTTTATATAGAATTCCAAGTATTTAACTACAACTGTCACTAGCAATTAATGTTTGCATCACTATTGTTATCTATGTATAAATAATTATCATTTTATATACATGTATCAAAAAGCAATTGCACAGTATTTTATACGTTAGGATGGCCCCTAAATGAAAATCTTCTGACGGGCAAATGTAGTCAAAAATTCAGTTTTTGTCTATTTATGGTTGTTTCAAGATTTAGGTTAAAATATCAGGAAGAAATTTAAAAAATTTAAAATTTTTAGTATTTTATTTTATCTCTATATATACGGGGCCATCCCAATATAAATAAAAATCAATAAGTTTATAGTTTAATATGTATTTACATATGTTTGCACTTATGTAAGTAAATTGCACATGTGTTAATGACATGTTAATCCAGATTAGGGTGATACTTAATGGAATTTTTTTTTGTTTATTTAAAAATTAAATTGTTGTAGAAAAACCATTTTTACATTCTTTTTAAAACTAATAATGCTTTACTGCTTCGGAAGCTAAATTTTAGAAAACGCATTAGTTTTGATTCTTCACAAAAAATGGAATATTTTAAATATGTATTCGTGTTTATAAATACCCTAATATTTCTATAAGACCACTTGTATACACAATAACAATGAAAATATCTCTATGATAGAAATCTTAGGATAAGATGCCTCCTTAAATGACATCAGGAAGGTCAAGAGTTGAAAACAAACTTAAAGATAAAAATCTCTCTTAATAATTGTATTTTGTTTACACAATTTGGTTTTTCTTTGTTTATCACCCTCTGTCCACTTAAACTAATCACATTTTACTAAAATAAAAACCAAAAAAGAAAACTTTTTCCTAGTTTTTCTTTTGCTGTTAAGATAATATTAAGAAATTAAAATATAAAACTTGGGTTTTATGACTTTACTATTAATAATTTAGTAGATATTTTTCTAGTTAAATATTCATAAAACGGATACAATTCAAATACACAAGTGGAATTTATTAATATTGAAAGAGAAATTCATATGAATTACTTCTATATGGTATAGAAGAAAAAAAGTAGGTAGAGAGAGATGAATGAAATCCGTTCCCACGACAATTGGATCTTCGCTCACGAACGACCCGAGTCATACTCGACCAAAGATTGTCAGCTGTATCAACCAAAAGTTTTTTTCCCCAGGAAAGAATTATCGGCTACAGTCGAACTGTTACAACAACAACATGAATGAAACTAGGTCTATTCCTAAGGGGTTTCAAACTAGAAAATTTACCAAGTCAATTCCCTAAAGAAAGAAATGTAAGAGAATCGTCACAGTCGAAGAAATTACTAATTCCCTTGATAAAACCTACGAAATTACTTTGGGTAATTCCCAAAATTTGCTACCTATTCACTAGCCATTCCAACCTGAGATTCTGTATTCTAGGACTGGGGATAATTATATGATCGATCCTCTAACCATCCATAACCTGCAACAGTCTGGTGTATTACTGTCCACCTTACTGAATAAAGGACCTATTTGATCAATGCCCCGTTAACATCCCTATCAGAATCCTTAGGCTGCGTTATCTATTGCTATAAGTATCTAGGTAGCCATCACATCAAGTGTTGGCCATAGGGCCTTTGATATTTAGCAACCCATGCTACTATTCCAGGACTGGTCAATGATGTCAGGGATTCTTTCGAATATCAACCTATGTATAATAGTGACAGATGTGAATTTAGCATAATTTAATGTAGGAACTTTATCTCGCTAGTTTGTCCGTAACCTCATTACCATGCACATTGATGTGCCCCGTCACCCAACACCCTAAACAGTCTCATAATGTCCCTAAAGTAATTTTTACAATCTACAATCAGGCGCGATTGTACTGTGTAACAAGCCAATAAGATCCCGTATCAGTTCCGTCATTTCCAGATTGGAAGACACTACATTCATTAGGGAGTATGAAGGACCATTGAAGGTATCCATCTTGCACCCGCCAATGAAATTGCACCAAACAGTCTATCGGATACTAGCCAGTCATTCCTAGTTGGAAATTCTATCAGAGGTGTTTCCCCGAAGTCTAGAGTCGTAATATCATAATCAGTAATTCCGAGAAGGGAATTACCCTGATCAAGTAGACCTACTTCGTACAGAATTTTGTATGATTGTCTCGCATAATTTCCCTGTCATCTATATCAACATAGGAACTTTATATCGCTAGTTCGTCCGTAACCTCATTACCATGCACATTGCTGTGTCCCGTCACCCAATACCCTAATGGTAAATAGTCTCATAATGTCCCTAAAGTAATTTTTACAATCTACAATCAGGCGCGAATGTACTGTGTAACAAGCCAATATTATCCGTATCAGTTCCGTCATTTCCAGATTGGAAGACACTACATTCATTAGGGAGTATAAAGTACCCTTACCGGTATCCATCTTGCACCCGCCAGTGAAACTGCACCAAACAGTCTATCGTATATTAGCCAGTCATTCCTAGTTGGAAATTCTATCAGAGGTGTTTCCCTGAAGTCTAGAGTCGTAATATCATAATCAGTAATTCCGAGAAGGGAATTACCCTGATCAAGTAGACCTACTTCGTACAGAATTTTGTATGATTGTCTCGCGAAGGTTTCACTAACGAAGAATCATAGATTCTTAGTAGATACCTAGCTGCTCCTCCCGCTAAAAATTTACTATAAGTGACAGGTACAGAACGAGGTCCAAATCCGCTTGTGGAGTAATACCAATGGCAAAAGTAATGCCAAGAGAGACACCTTTCAGCCTCCCACCAGACAATGCAACCATAAGTTATAATAGGCCTGACAACCGATGAGTAAGTTCAATTTATCATTTCTGCAGACCTCAATTATTTCCTATAGAATTCTTACATGTGTATTAGGCATTGTGTCCCTTTTACATTCATTCCTGAGTATTTTCTTTCTATGAAATGTTGCTATAAAAGAAAATCCCTAAATATTTAGCTCATCTAGATAAACTTGTTCGCCTGAAGTTGCCTACCGTTTTTCCGCTTTTCTAGGATTTATGTCCAGTCTTTTTCCTAGAAGCTCCTAGATTGATGAGCATTTTCTGAAGTAGATACTCTGCTGATCAGACATTTTAATAAAAATGACAGAAAACTATCAGTTACAATCAGAAATATAATTTTTTGTTCAAAATTTTATCAAATATACAAACAAATAAAAATATTTACTAATGCATACAAATACAAACACTTATGTGAGCTACTGTAACTACTGCCAAAAGGATACAATACTAAAAACTTGACTTATTTTAGTGGGTGTTAAATATTTACATAAACACAAACAAATGTTGTTGTTTACTTTATTTTTTGTCTTGTACGGAATGTAGTCAAATATTTTGAAAACTCAGAAAATGGCTAAAATGTAAAAAAGGCTAAAATGTTAAACAGCAAAATACTATACAAACATAGCAAAAAGTAATTATGTACGTGTAACGTTGAATGTAAATATATTAGACTGCTACAATATTCTTTAAAAGGAAAATAAAACCATTTGAAAGATGTAAAAAAATAATTGTTTTTACAACAACAAACAAGTGATTTCACAATAAAAGAGGCTGAGCGGATATGGTTTTCTTATGACGAATTGGCACAAATGTTTGGAAATTGATTTTTCAATATTTGATTACAATATTCGTAATGGATTATAAAGATTGTGTAATTATGTGGAGGAAGAATTTTGAAGAAATTGAATTTTGTTTGAAAAATTAGTAAATTATCACCTTTGAAAGAAGTTTAGCATTTTGAGATGCATATGTATATTCAAAACTATTTATCTTGCACAACCCAAAATTTTCAGGAGAGTTTATTTCGTCTTCAATAGCTGGTCTAAAAATGTTGCATTAATTCTTGATGAACTTGATGAATTAAATTGTTCTTCAAAAATAAATTATAAATGTTATTTTTTTGGAAATATTTACTAAATGTTTTCTAGAGAAACTGTCATAGTCCCATTCAAGTTAGTTTTCTAGAGAACCTAGGTCATAATCCCATTCTGTTCTTTTTATATGTTGTTGCTGAGACTATAACCTAGACTATAGAGTGGACTATAACCTAAACTATAAACTAGACTATAGACCAGACTATAGACTAGACTTAAGAATCGATTTCAAGTGAGACATTTAGATATTCTTCAAAATACCAACATAATATGTATGTATGTAAGTATATTATACATATGTTCATATTTTATGATTTTTCAAATAGGTACGCGATTTGGCGATAAAAGTATAATTAAATCTGACACCCCCAAATTGTATGATAGAATGTTTTAAGTACCTAGGAACAATATGTATTCAATAGTCTCTATGTTATACCAATTTGCAGGGGAACAAAAAATTGTCTATTTCCCTGTGGTAATAATAGGTTTAGTACAAATTGAAGGAGCAGTCTAATAGAGACTTACATAGATACATACATTATTATCTAGTGGGGGCGGTGGGGGATGTTAAATGACATACATATAGTAGAAATATAAATAAAAGGATGATGACGCCGCCGTTTTTATTATGTAGTATGCCAATTTAAAACGTAAAATACTTTTTCTTAATGTTTGAAAATTGAAGGTCAATATGTTATACATAACTTCTATTACGCCAAACAGATTTAAATAAGTTTGGTGTAATTTAAAAGCACATAAGAATTCTTAAAGGGGAGATTTACTAGAAATAGTAAGTGTGGTCTTTTGAAATTGACCTACATAATTTTGAAACGAAAAATAAGGTGGACGTTTTTACAAGAAATAACAAAAATACTTACACAAACACACACGCACTCATGGATCTGCGTAAACACGCTAAAATAGAGCCAATAAATAAATATAAAAAAATCAGGCAACACTATACGTCATACAACAAACACAACAATATTTACAGTTGTGTATTTCCGTTTGTCACTATTTCTTTTTTCCAAGATATCGTAATTTAAAATTTTTTAACTTTACTAATAACACGATTTTTTAAATAACACAAAATATTATTTTCGCAAATTTTCTTAATTTTTTTATTATATGTATTAATTTTTACACTTTTTTGTTGCTTTTTTGCCAACAGACGACAATCTCATTTCATATTCTGCTACTGAGGTTGGGCGGCAGTGCGGTTCGACACTCTCACTATCTTTTTTTGGAAAAAAATTTCTTAAAAAATCTATGGTTATGTTATACCATATTAACACACATTTTTCATCGATAATTTTTTATGAAAAGTAATTTTTTTATTTTTTGTAATTTCTAAATTATTCCACTTTATTGCTGTTTGGCCTTTTACTTCGCCGTAGATGCAAAGTAAAAAAATAAAGATTAGGAAAATATTTTTTAATATATTTTCCCAACAGCCGCTGTATTTATAATATTTGTTTGTCTCGTATGGATACAACGTTTTTTTGCAAATTCTCAATTATGACTACAGAAATTTAAGATTCTTTTACTCTTCTTTTTTCTTATTTATTGTTTTTCTTCTTATTATTCTGTATATTGTTGTTGTTTTCATATGATTTTTGTTTTGTTGTGTTAATATAAGAGACCTGCGCCGACATTAATTAATAATAGTCGTTGGCTCTAAAAATTTTGTTGACGGCTTAATATCGGCTGTAAGCCGGCAATGTTTTTAACAGAACGTTTCAATTTTTTCTTTCATTATTAAAATTTATTAAAAATGTTGTAAAACAATACAAATTAACGGCAATGGTAACGGTCTAAACACGAAAACTTTAGTTGAAAAACTTTTTTCTAAATTCTCTTTTAAAGTTTCCTTAATGTCTACACGTAGTGCCGGTTCACACAGCCAAACGTTTTTTTTTTTGGGAAACTTTTGATTTTGTGTGTGGGAGACAGAGATGGTTGATATTTCGTTCTCTTCTTCCCACACACAAAATCAAATGTTTCCCAAAAAAAGTTTCCTTGTGAAGACGGGCACCAACATTGTTGAATTTAAAAAAATATACAATATTCTTTATGATGAATGTAAGGGCCGGTTCACTCAGGCAAACTTTTGATTTTCTGTTAGAGAAAGAGATGGTTGATATTTCTTTCTCTCTCACACAAAATCCAAAGTTTCTCAAAAAAGTTTGCTTGTGTGAACCGCACTGTACAACACGGGTTGAGGCGGTAACTTTAAACATAATTATGTTCCACATGTTTATAAGAGTTGCCATACTAATAATATATAGTGCAACCGAATATGGAAAATTCGGCAGATCTTATTGAAAGATATTTAAATATGTATAAAGTTATAGTTTTAAGTATGACTTAGTCTTGGGTACGTAAATGAGGAACATCCTACGAGTTTAAATTTCAAAAAATATTTAATCTGGGCTCGCTACCGTTACCAATAAAAAAGTTAATTAGAGTTACTGTTATTTTTCCACAGTTTCGAAACAGTTGCCAACCTAGGCATAGACACCGTCATAGATATTTGAAAAAAGATTTTAGAACAAGAAAACGATATTTAAAAGAAGATTTTAGAACTAGAAAACGAAGCCCAATATTCTTTTTTTCGCATTTACCAAAAATTGTTAGCAAAGCCGCTTTTCCATGTATGTATGTATGTATGTATGTATGTATGTATGTATGTATGTATGTATGTATGTATGTATGTATGTATGTATGTATGTATGTATGTATGTATGTATGTATGTATGTATGTATGTATGTATGTATGTATGTATGTATGTATGTATGTATGTATGTATGTATGTATGTATGTATGTATGTATGTATGTATGTATGTATGTATGTATGTATGTATGTATGTATGTATGTATGTATGTATGTATGTATTTATGTAGCGAACATAATTTTTAGAAATGATTAATAACACAGGCCAACAAATTTTTTATCCAGAGACCAAAGTATATTTTTCTTAAGGCTTAAGCAGATAAAATGTTTGCCGTTTGTGTTAAGATATTTCGACGTCAGAAGAATATATAAGAATGGTTAAACCTTTATCGTTAGGTTCGACTTTTTGAAGACAACAAATTATATAAATTAAGATGTCTTTGCGCTGTTATAATGTCCCAAATATGGCCAAAAAACGGGTTTTTAATCCTTATGACACGGTATCTGGAAAACATGATGTGAGCGTATTTTAGAAAAGTACCTATTAGCCTCGCCTCTCAAAGCTGTTTGAGAAATATTTCAAAAGAAAATCATTCAATATTTGAATGAGCAAAACATCATTCCAGTTTATCAGTTTGGATTCCGTGAGCATCATGGAGCTATTGAACAGGTTAATCGAATGGGAGAATTGTCCACCTGTCATTCTTAACAATATTTATGTATGTATATACCGCAGTCCGATTATATTAATTACTTTGGAATTCATTTAGACAGACGACTTACTTGGCTTCGACTTATTAAATTCAAAATATTTTGTATGAAATTAAAAGAATCTAGTCCGTACTGGATAATCAACGATCAATCAAAATTGAGTCTTGACTATAAATTCATCCTGTATAAAATCTTAAAACCAATCTGAACATACGCTATCCAATTGAGGGCAACGCCAGCAATACCACTTTTGCTATTATACAGAGAGCACAATCTAAAATTCTTAGGACCATGACTGGAGCGCCATGGTACATAAGGAATGAGCACATCCACATGGATTTAGAAGTACCACTGGTACCACAAAATTACAAAGTTATCCTAATCCGTTTGCAAGGCATCTCATGCAATATGAGTCCACAACAAGGCGTAGAAACGATTTTCTACCCCGCTAGGACGAGGATATTTTTGCTCTCATTGGAGAATAAGATTTAATTTTGTGTATTGTTAGGACTTAACACGGCAGATCCAATAATACTAATAAAACGTTAAAACAAAATTATTCGTAACGGCTCAGCAAAAAATACCTTCCATGAAAGCAATAAAGAAGTTGACTACCAGAAAGTGTCGAAAATGAGCATCAAAAGCAACAGATTTTTATGATCGGAAAGAACCTTTTTGATTCCTATTCATTATATGATTGAGACCAGATAGTAGCCTTTATACTGACATACATAATCTTAATATTTTAAAACTGTGAAAAGTTGAGTAAATCAATTTTTTTAATTTAGATACTTTGGTCCATATTTATATATGGGTTTTTTTTCTGAAGATTTGATATATGTACAAGTAATTTTTAAAGAAAAATAAAAAAACGCATTATTTAATGATTTTTAAAATGTTTATTTTATTATTTAATTCACTTAATACTATGAACAAATTAATGAATCATTATTTATGATTTCATAAATTGGAGGCTGTTAAAAAACGTTGCAAATTTTCATATTTTATTTATTGATAAATATGTTCTTAATTTTAGAATAAAAAATAATAACTTAGTAAAAAAGAAAACAATAATAAATTATAGTTATTTCAAATAAAGCTCTATTATTATTTGCTAAAAAAAAAGATCTTTGGTATTTTAGTTGGTAGTTTTTGAGTGAGACTAGATATTATTTTAATGCCCTCTTAAGCTTTCTTTAAGTGACTTAATTAGTTAAGTTAGCATTAATTTTTAATATGTTTAGTAATTAGTACTAAAGTTTTTATTTTATTTGCCAAGTCAAAGTATAAAAATGAATTGTGGGAGTTTGTTATATTCAAAATTGAATTAATTAGATTTAAAAAAATGGCTAGAAAATGGCGTGCACTAGAAATGTTTTTCATTTACTAATAAAATATAACAAACAAAAATAGTTTATTACAAAAGTTGTAATTTTAAAGAATTTTTATTTTAATTTGAAATTATGAGCCAACTTATTTAAAAGGTACATATGTATGATATGTTTATCATACACATTGTTGTTTTTTTGAACCTCTTAAATATCGGCTACAATATATGATTTGAAAATTCTTAATTTTAAGAAAAGCTATTGTGCAGTTCGTAATAGAATGATTTAATAGTTTTTCATGCATACTTTCTATAGAAATATTTAATTTTGTAGCTAAAACTAAATCCTTTCCCTTAAATTAGCAGAGAATATTTTTTGATCTTTGGCTTTTGGATTAAATGTTATTCAACACTCACTTCGTTTAATGGTAAAAAAAAGAAAATTTTCATTCATCTAGTAGTTGCTATACTGATGCTATTTTTTATGTATTAATATTTAATATCCTTACTAATATTCGTTATACTCGTTATTCGCTTCGAATTTATTTTGTGGGAAAATCGGGCCAATAGTTGATGTAATATCTGTGTGTAGTACCTTCGAATAAACGATCTAGCCAATTGCTTAGACCATCCAAGAGATTTTCTTCCAAAAGAATTTTTGGCTCGTTATCATCCGAATCGTCCGAGTTGCCCACGGTAAAGAAGGCGCCACTTTCTGGATCGTCGGTTCGTACCAGTTGTCGGGTTATCTTTTCCATTCTCTTAACACCTCTAGTAGTTTCCGGATGTTTGGCATGATACATGCAGAAGTATTTACGATGACCATTTAAGGCAATAACAGTGCCAATACAATTTCTAGGATTTATTTGCAAGTTCTTTGTCTCACATAGCGACAACCTTAGTAATTCGGAGTACCAGGACAGACCTTTTTCGATTAGCATGTGGCCAAAGATGAGAGTTTTATTTTTCCTATAAGGCCACACGGATTTATGAAAGGGTGGTATGAGTTTTGTGCGTGTTTGCAAGTCTGTTATCAATATAATTGTTCTACAACCCGGTTTAAGCAAACGTACCATGCCATTGTACTTTTCAGCTCTTAGTTCGTGCAGTTTTAATTCGGGAACATGTTTATTTTGCTTGGCTACAAACTTGGAATTAATTTGTCCCTTAGCCTTCAAGTTTTCTTCCTCGGCCCGCACAAAGTACACCATAACATAGCCAACGGCAAACATAAATGCAATTGTTCCCAGCAAAGATAAAGTGGCCAGTATATGCTCTTCTTCTATGGAATCTAAAAGATATTCATAAAAGTACAAGGCCTTCGATATCCACTCATGAATAAAGCCTTGAGCATGTTCATCCAACAGGTTTTTAACAAAGGCCTCATAACTTAAAGCCTCCGAGGTTTTCAATAGCTTTTGTATAGTGTGGTCTATACGCTGTTTGGTGTGATTTATAAGATGATCTGAAGATTGATGGCCAGAATTGAGCAAGTCCAAATTGGCATCATTGACCCACTCGTATTTCACATGTGAAGTATCGCGCCGCCATAAAACCACAATGCGCAAGAGCTTATCATCGTTAGAGCCCTTCGAAATGGCATTGATAAATTCCATTTGCTTCTCCTTAAAAATGTAAGCAAAACGTACTTTGTCTAAACTATAACCACTCTGTAATGCAATATTTCTTAAAGCCCCTCTAGCGAAATTATGCTCATCTGAATTTTCCGTTATAAGCACAACACAAAGACGTTTGCGTGGACGATTCCATTCGGCGGGGCATATACCTTCTAATATCTCCTGTGAGGAAAGGCGCGGTAGTGTTAAATACTGATTGGAGGATATAATACTGTTAAGTGTCTGAGCTGGAATCTCAGACATAGACACACTAGCCACAGGACGTTCTACGTACTCATTAAACAACAACAAAGTGTCCAGTTTTGGATGTATTTGGAAGCGTTTCTTTAATTCCTCACAATTAGGCTTTTCCAAATACACAAAACCAAAAGCCACTCTGCTGCGAAAAGCAAATGCGGCTATTAAGTATCTCAGTCTGGTCTGATTCCTCGGTTCCAATATCAACGCCCTCACCTTGTTATCCATCCAACCATTTAGAAAGGCATCGATATTGTCATCATCCACCGTAGTGCCAATGCGATAGGGCATTTTCTTACGTATAAAATCTACCACCTTTTGCGAGGTCAAGGTTGTTTCTCGGTATATATAGTTGTGACCATTTAACACCAACACCAGACTAGGTAACTCGCTCAAACCTGCCATACGAAATAGACGTTGTTCGTGTGCTGCATTAACGGTGGCAAATTGTATGCCCAAAGGTTCTAAAATTTCAATAAGCTTTTTAAATGCTCCCACCATATGAGTACATCTGAAGCACCAGTCATTGTAGAACATTAATATATACGGCACCGTCTGACTTTTTGGCAAGATAATCTGCTCATAATACTTGGTGGTTATAGACAGCTTGTGATACACACTTATGTCATGATCAAAGTAAAATTTTTTACCAAAGAATTCCTCCAAGGGATCGGGAGCATAACGGCCATACTGACTGTAATCATGTTTCTGCTTAAACATGTGAGAGTCTTCACTGGTCACACCATGCTGGTCGTAAAGACGACGTCGGTCAGCATCACTTAAGAGTTCATAGGCCTGTTTTATTTTCACAAACTTTAATTCTGCATCGGGGTTGCTGTTCTTATCCGGATGCCATTCTTTGGCCAATTCTTTATATGCTTTGCGAATCTGCTGAGTATTAGCATGTCTGTCTACTCCCAGTATTTTGTAGGGATCTTCAGATCCAGATAGGAATGCATTCACTCCATAGCTTACGATAAATAGAATGACAAAAATATTCTTTAGATGCAAGACAACCATTGTAAAAATTTGACTAGTATATTGAAGAAAAAACTAAAATAAAATTAAATCAATAACAGAGACCTGTGCCGACTACAATTGACGACGGCGGCAGCTAACACTAAAAATTTCGTCGGCGTCTTTAATCGTCTTATGGCTGGCAACGTTTTTAGCTGTGTTTTTAAATGATTTACCGGTATAATAATTATGAATATCGCTACAAGAACAGTGACAGTCATTTGATAGGTCATTTGACTGGCACTACTGATGTATTATTTCTATCACAGCGTAAAGCAATGTTTCTATCAGTTTCTTAAGGCAAATGGACAAAAGTGATGGAAACATTTGTGTACATGTGATTTTTCTTCTCCCTTGCACTTATGAATTCTATCGACTTTAAAACATATATTTGAGCTCCTCACTCTTTTTTTGTTTACTAACCAAGGATGACATAAATATTAGTCAGGATTGACTGATCATGCTTGATGGATATATCTATCACGGTTAACAAATTAAAAATGATGTATTTATCGGTCATGGTTGACTAATCATATGTGATGAATATATCCGTCAAATGTGACGGCTATACCAATTTATAATAAAACACAATTTATTAATATTTTAAGATATATATATTTGTTAATTTTATTAATATAATAAACATGTACATAAATTAAAAATCATTTCAAAAAGCAGGATCTTAAATCCGCTGATGCTCCTTTTAATTTGTGGAAATAAGTTGTCTGTAAGAAATACATATACATAAATATCGAAATATAAAAATTAAAAGTAAGTAATCATGTTACCATAGATTGATTAAACTCCGAAGTGTTTATCTTCAGCTCCACTTCCTGCACTATTTTTAAATTCTGTTTATAATAATTCTCTTTATTTTCAATAATTTATAGACTTTGTAAATTTTTAAATTTTTCGCTTCGGGCTTTTACAGAAATAATTAATTTTTAACGTCGAAAAATATAACTCTAAAACACAGTAACAGTCAAATGTAGTTGTTTCAATCTTTCATATGCAAATGAAACCCTTTACAACACATTGGGTACATCAACAGTCATTTTACCGGTCATTTGACTGACATTATTGATGGAATTATCCATTAACTATTTTTTTTTAGCAATTTTATAAAAAAATGTTGCAAGAGTGTTAGTGAAATCATTTTGTATGTGTTAATTTCGGTCATACATTTCTTGTAGGGGTACATTACCTGGTTAGATGTTTTGAATAAAAGCAAGATCCAAGCGATTGAAAACGTCGGCATTTTGTAGAAATTTAAAAAAAAATTGTATATAGAATCATAAATAATACAATAATATAAAAACAAGTGAAATGCAATATTCAGCTGCGTCAAATCGAATATAGTAGTTTAGTACTTAAGGTTGAAAGAAGAAAGAAGATATAAAACATTTATTTTAAAGTCGACAGATTGGACTTTCAGATTTCAAAAACAATTTTATTAATAAAAGTGTCTTCGTGCTCTTACGTCTCAAAAATGGTCAAAAACCCCGATTTGTTAATTTAAACTCAATACATATCTCTAATCCCTGATGTGTGAATCCGAATCAGAGGCGAGACTAGGATACAGCGCAGCTCAATCCTTCAGAAAAGTATAAATAGTATAAAAATTCAGGGTACAGACTTTTTTAATTTTTGTGGAAAAAAATTTGGCATCTCTAAATAAAATTTGACATGGGTGTAACCCATCACTTAGTGGGATGCAAGGGGCATATCTATAACAACAACTCAAAAACTTTACTTTTAAAGTTAATTTTTATTACAAATGCCTCTTGCATCCCACTCAGTGACCACAAAGCTTTTAAAGGAAATGGTCTACGCTTTCTTTTGAGCAAAAAAAAAGAAAAACGTTTATTTTGAAAAAACTTTGACCCCGTTTGACTCCTGCAGTTCTTGACCGATACAGTTGAAAATTTGTGTCTGGCCTATTATCTTGGTGCAAATGTCATCTAAATCGATTTTTTAAGTTGGATCACTTGATACGAAATTGCCCATATATAAACGGGTTTATTATTCATTTACTACATAGTTAAACAGAATCTCCAATTATTTAAAAGTTATTAGGAATCTTGTAAGTGAAACTAACGAAAACATATAAAAATTGTCCGTTATACATAACTTTCCAATCTTATCAATCAATTAGCCGATCCTAAAAGTATGCTTGTTTTTGTATGTATGTTTTTCTTATTATCCATCCTAAAATAATTTATTTCAGACAAATTTTAATATGATATGGCAACAAAGTTTATAATTGTCAAGTCAAAAGCTATGTAACTAAAATATAGATGGCGCTAAATTTATTAAGGATTTGATGCAAAATATGTAATAATGTGTGATTTTTTCTTGGGCGTACCCCCCTAAAATGTTTCTTTCTGTCAGATTTTAGGGTTGGCAAAGTTATAGCACATTTGAAGATGTTAACCCGTGCCACTGGGGCCTCAAAGTTTTGAAAATCTCGATTTTTTGGCAGTTAGGCTACTTTGGCGACCCATAACTCTGGAACTGCTAAAGCTATTTATAATATTCTACGCAATAAATCCGCAACTAGTAAACCGAAAAAAGAGGTAATGTCCCTAAAAACGTGACTAGGTATCCCTGAGAACGAAGATGCGTTATTTGTATTATTTTTGCTTATTAAGGACAAATACTTTTACTGTGAAATCTCATTTCATCATATGTTTGCTATGGTATACCGTTAATTTTAGACCCACAACAATGTTTTTTTATGTCTATTTTTTTCTCATACTGTATCACTGGAGCAGGTAAATAGAAACTAGTTTAAAAATATATTGCACAGACTTAAGATACCCCAAAACGAGGCTGTTTGCATGCACTGGGATGGGAAAACTACTACCAAGTATCTGATATTACATGGGACTAAAGAACTAGGAACAAACCCTTGTAGTATACGAATGTCTAGAGGAATGGGATATCGCCAGCTCGGTCGTGGTTATGTATTTCGATACAACAGCATCAAATACTGCGAGACTCAACGAAGCGTGCAATCTCCTGGAGCAGATGTTAGGTCGAGAGCTTGCCGACATCACGTTTTAGAAGTCTTGTTGAGAGGTGGTTTTTGACTGCAAGTTTGGAAGCACGTAGGGACCTCAACCAGACATATTGAATAAGTTTCAAAAAGAATGGTCGACGATTAATAAATCCAAGTTCGATGTAGGCGAAAATGTTTTGGAACTACTCTGCCCAAAGAAGAAGTGGAGAATATCAAAGAAGAACTGCAAAGAAAACTAATGGAATGCCAGCCAACAGTTGGCATTGATATATCTTGGCTATCTTGACGGAAAAGATGTGTGCTTCAGATCTGGATGGCAAAACCTATTTATTGTCTGAAAATACAACTCTTCCGTGACCAGTTTAAGCTGACTTCCCAAGAAAAAAAGGTCCCCTGAGCGTGTTTAGAGGCAAAACAAGACCTAGACCTCATTGAAAATCTATTAAAATACGAAAGCATTGACAAAAAAATATCAGAAAAAGGAATTAACAAAATTATAAAACAAATGTATTATCCTAAACTTGTTGCCCTGGCATTGTTTGATCCAACAGTGCAAAACACCGTAAAGAGCCAAATGGCTACAAAAAATCTTAACAAATCAAGCAGAAGAAAATGAGAATTGCTCCAGAAATATGCGACCCAAACTAAAAAACAACTGAAGAAATTCTCCCAGACCTAATTGCAAGTGAGACTTACCTCTTGTTCAAGAGATTTAACATTCCACCGAATTTCTGGATAAAGATCCTGCAACTTGGCCGCAGAACATCAATTACCAGGAGGGGCAAAGGATGGTAAACAACTTGAAAGTTGTGAACGACACGAAACAATTACTTACAAAGGATGAGCAACAAAAACCACAATATGTTAGTCACTTAAATCAATTTAAATAAGAACAAGTTAGAGTGCTATATTCGGCTATGCCGAATCTTAAATATCCTCCACCAGCAAGCTACTTTTTGTTAAACCCCATTTAACTATCTAATTTTTAGATAATTTGACAAAATTTTTGTTTCCGTAGTGAGGGTACTAACATATGTGGAACTAATTTTGTTAAGGTCCAGAAAAATTTATATTAATAGGCCAGTTCGAAAACACTTTAAAAGAATGATTTATCTATACACAGAACATACTCATGTCGAATTTTATCTGTATATAATAATTTAATAATGAATTAAGTTGTATTTAGTGATTTTCAGAAGTAAAATTCCGTATAACGATTTATATAGACAAAATACACATTTATGTCGAATTTTATCCCCATAACTTTGATTTTCAATGTGCGTTTAAGTAATCAGGAAAAAATTTCGTATAATGATTTATATGCAAAAAAAATCAAGTCGAATTTTACTCCAATAGACTTATTAATTAATTTTCGGAAGTGGACTTTATATAGGAGCTATATCCTCTCCGGAAGAATTTCGTAGAGTAATTCATATGTTTGTACACAAAACATATTTGTGTCGAATTTTATCAAGATAGCTTTATTTGATAATGAAATATGTGCGTTTAAGTGATTTTTTGAAGTGGACCTTATATGGGAGCAACATATTAACAATTATAGACCGATCCGGAAAAAATTTGGTAGAATGATTTATATGCACACAAAACATATTAAAGTCGTACTTTATCCCGATAACTTTATTATTCAAAGAAATATATGCGTTTACGTGATTTTCGGAAGTGGACCTTATATGGGAGCTGTAACCAATTACGGGCCTATCCGGAAAAAATTTCGTAGACAAAAGATATTTGTGTCGAATTTTATCAAGATAGCTTTATTCGACAATGAAATATGCGAGTTTAAATGATTTTCGGAAGTGGAGCTATGACCAATAATGGACCGATCAGGGAAAAAATTGGTAGAATGATTTATATATATACAAAACATATTAAAGCTGAATTTTATACCGATAGCTTTAGAATTCAATGAAATATACGCGTTTAAGTGATTTTCGGAAGTGGACCTTATATGGGAGCTATGACCAATTATAGTCCTATCCGGAAAAATTTCGTAGAGTGACCCACATATAGACAAAACATATTTTTGTCAAATTTTATCAAGATAGCTTTATTTGACAATTAAATAAGTGCATTTAAGTGATTTGCGGAAGTGGGCCTTATATGGGAGTTATGACCAATAATGGACCGATCCGAAAAAAATTGGTAGAATGATTTGTATGTATACAAAACATATTCACCTCGAATTTTATCACAATAGCTTTATTTATCAATGAAATATGTGCGTTTAGGTGATTTTCGGAAGTGGGCCTTATATGGGAACTACGACCAATTGTGGACCGATTATGATGTTATGATTTCTGTTCATATTATATTTGCATGTATAAAATTTTGTGTTGATACCGATATATTTGAGGGAGTTGTTAACGATAAACTAATTTATAGGAATATACACCTTTGTATGGGGGCTATGGAAAATATAGGATCAATTGTTATGAGTTTGAACATACTTGATCCCTGCCAAAGAAAAATAATGTGTCACGAAATTCAAATTGTTAGTTTCTAAAAAAACTATTTAAGAATTGAAAAAAAAAACGTAATTTTTTTCGAGTTAGTCTGAAATTTTTAGTCATAACTTTTTACTTCGTTAACCGATTTTGCTGATTTTCAATACCAAACTGTACCGGATAACAAAGAATGTTTTGGGTGAATTTATGTATATTGCTTCGTTTTAACGTGGGCGTGTTTTACACAGACAGACGGACGGACACAGCTAAATCGACTTAGAATTTTATAAGGATCAAGAATATATACATATATTTCTTCGTGTTACGCAAGGAATGACAAAGTTATATATCCTTTATTACCACTGATGGTGGTGGATGGTATAATAAAATTAAAAAGGCATTTATTATACTTAATTTTTTAAATACATAATTTTTTTCATTCCAAAAATTGATAATATAGAAAGGAAAATGGTGTTTTTCACAATAAGGCTTCATTATGTCGAATTCAGTACTACTTACGCATTTTTAAAATATTATAAATAGTATCGACTTCAATTTGATATATTACACGGGCAAATATATTAAACTGTTCTAGAGATATAAGTCGGCAAAGTCGCCAAACTGCCAAAAAATCTAGATTTTCAAAACTTTGAGACCCCATGTCTAAACTATACTTGCAATGAAAAACAAATATTAGAGTAATAATATGATTTTTTCAAGCGTCTAAACTAAAAAAGCAATTGGAACACAAATTAAGAGGAAATCTCTTAAACGAAATTTTCAAAGGACATTATTTAAATTATTTCGTCCTGAAAATTAAAAACAAAAAATAGATTTGAGTTATTTTAAATGACCTTTAGTATATATATATATATATATATATATATGTATGCATTGCGCATAGTTTGGGGACACAAAAAATTTGATGTTTTTAAAATTGGATTATGTTCTCAGTTCCATAATTGACGCATATATCCCGATATTTCAAATAATTTTCCAATAATTTCCCTATAAATCCATTAATCAACGTTGCGCATTCTTTGGGGGTTTTCATTTGTGTACCGCATACATTGGAGACTTGTCCTCAGAAAATACTCTGTATATACGAAAAGTTGTGATGCCACATGTTTATTACATTTTTGCTGATTTTAACGGCGTTACGTGTTCTGTATTTTGCGCCTATGGAATTCATACAATAAATTTCATAGTAATGCCAATACAATTTTAACTCCATTTATCCCCTGATTTACTGCAAATAAGTGCTTTAAATCGTTTAAATAAAAATAAAACACTACAAAGCAAGACGGAATAACAAAAACATTTTAACACGAAAGCAATTCTTTTAGCAAACTTCAGAAGTAAATGAAAATATTTAAATATCATTTCATTTGTACAATTTGCTTTGAATATTGAATCGAATGGCGAAATATTGTGGGTACATAAGGTTTTAATTTTTTAATACGATTTATAACCTTTGTTTTTATAGGTTTGAAGTCATTTAACATATCTTGATATGCGAACGAAATAAGATTGTTCCAAAGTATATAAGATTCACCATTGTTGTCGTATTGCATTATGAAGCAGTTCATCGGATAAATAAATTCATTCTGTGATTTCAACTAGCTACCAAGTGGCTTCCAAGAACATGGTCTATAGTCTCGACTATGTAATAGACTCTATACTGGACTCGACTACAGACTAGAGGTTACGTTAGATTATACTAGATGTATACTGGACTATAGACAAGACTATATACTATTCAGTAGACTAGATTTCGGACTGGGCCTTACACTAGACTATAAAGAAGACTTTAGACTACTGTATAGACTGGATTGGACCATAGACTACACTATATACTGCACTAGACTAGACATTATACTCTACTAGATAATAGTTAAACTATAGAATGGACTAGACTATAAATTAGAATTTGGATTAATCTATAGACTACAATATAGACTAGTCTATAGGCTGGACTATGGTCTAAACCTTTGAATAGACCATATACTAAAGACTAGACTATATGATACTTGGCTATAGATTAGTCTATATACTTGGCTAGACTATACTATACTATAGACTAGATTAGCCCATAAACTATGCTAAGGATTATACTAAACTAGATAATATACTGGACTAGACTGCACACTACTATAGCCTAGCCTATATAGAGTAGACTAGACTATAGATATTAGACTAAACTACATATTGACTACAGTCTAGCATATTGCCTAAACCATATACAATACTATAGACTAGTCTATACACTGAACTAGACCCTAGACTAGATTATAGATTGTGCTATATACTATGATATAGATAAAACTAGACAATGAATTATACTATAGAATATAATATAAACTGAACTAGACCATTTACTAGATTATAGACTGTGCTAGACTATGAATTATATAATTGAATATACTATAGACTAGAATATTAATTTTTTTTTTTCAATTTAGAATAAAGAACAATTTGAACAATTTATGTCGATTAATCGAATAATATTTGATGGTTGCTTTTTACGAATTTGTTATTAAAGTATTGAATAAAGAATTACATTAATATATTGTATATCTGGGAAACCGTTAGAGTTAGAATCCCTAAACTTGCACAGATAACATAGAAAACTATGTGTACAATTTGGGGGAAATTAAACTATTTCTAGGGGCAATGTTGTATGAATAACTTTGACATCCAGATAAACATTTTGGTAATAAATTTGGTGATTAGCAATAGGGGCACCTCCCATATGAATTAAATATAAAAATTCTTATATCTGAAAAATTATTAGAGATAGAAATCTAAAATTTTGCTTGAGCAAATTTATCTATTTATATATACACAATTTTAACGTACTGACTGACCGATTCATCATCACACAGTCTAAACGGTTGAAGCTCAAGAGTTGAATTTGGACAGCAGATTGGTCTCCCACCAAATAGATAGACTAAAAGAGGATTTTTGGAAATTCGATTGTTTAGGGGGTAAAAACGTGTTAATTCGGTAGCCTTATATCTCATCCCATCATCTTTTAAACCAGTGAAAACTCAACAAATATTTCTGACTCTCTTAACTTATCGAAAAAATTATAAAAATATAAATTTAGTACTTTTTGAATATTTGGACGATTAAGGGGTGAAAATTGTATATATTTTTGAAACATTTTACATAAAAGATTATTTTCACTTGTGCATATGAATATTTTATGATGGGCTCCCACTCCGATATTGCAACTTTTTGGAATAAAATATCAATTACTTCAATAGGTAGAAAATGTACCAAAAGGGGGAAAACGGGAATTTTATTCAAAATCATTGAGCCAATTTTAATAAAATTTGAGAATGGTGTGTTACTTGGAACTCCGGTACAAAGGACTATTTTTTTTAATTTTTCGTTTTTTAGTTGGTACTTTTTGAGTTTTTTTCAACATTGATCCTAGAAACATAAAATTAAGCATGTAGAGCCCGGAGTTAATGATAATCTATAAAAGGAAAATTTTTGATAATTTTTCTTTCTTCAAAAGGTAATTGCTGAGTTTTCTATAATAATGAACCTAGGAGCATACTTTTTGAGTATTTCACAATATTTAACCTAGAAAGGTGAATTAATTTACCGGAGTAAATAAAAACCTATAAAAGGAGACTTTTTCTTACTTCAAAAGATACTTTTTGTGTTTTCTATAATATTGAACCCAGAAACATAAAACTGAGCGTTCTGGGAATTGAGTGAATGAAAATCTACAATGGAGAATTACTTGTACTTATTCGTTTTTAACTTTTACTTTTTGAATTTTCTATAATATTGAACTTAGGAACATGAAATTAAATAAAAGAGGTCTTTTGTTACTTTTTTGAGTTTTCTAAAATATTGAATATATATACACTGATAATCCATACCTACGAAATATATTAGTATAATGCAAAATAATTTTAGAAAAAAATGCGTTTATTTTACGATTTTTTATATTACATAAATATGTTAGTTCATTTAAAAAATGTTATTGCGAATTAAAAAAAAAACAAATTGTTTTATATTTAACTGATACTTCAAAGATTTAATTATTTACTGATATTATTTAAACCTCTTATATTTTAAAACACTTTGAATACAATTTTCAAAATATTATATATACATACTTTTAGTTTAAAATAAATCAACATTTTTATTATCAAATGTTCGCCTTCTAAAATTTATGAAATAAGGTATATAATTTCATGTCAATTTAAAATTACGTTTAATTTAACTCGCTAAAATTACGAAAATAACAACAAAAATCGTAACAAAAAAATTTTATTTTGTAAAATCTAAGAAAATTCTTGTATATTACTAAATAATTTTGTTACGAAAAAAATTCGTTACTGGCGTTAAATAATACATGCCTTAACGAAATTATTTTTTGTAAAATAAAACAAAGTTTTTTAATATATACGAAAAAAAAAATATTACGACAGGTTTTCGTACTTTCGTAAAATTAGAAACACGATTTCCTCATTTGGTTTTGTATTATTTTTGCTTTTGAGCACATCATGTTCATTAACTCAAATGTACGCAGCTAGAAAAGCAAACAATTGGAGCAAAACTGAAAATTGTCGAGCGATGGTTTCCTGATGGGTTTGCTAATTAGAAAAACATTTTTGAGAAAAATTAAAAGAAGACTTAGGTTTAAGTTTTTGTAGATGCCTATGTGGAATACAGTAGTAATAAAAACAAAAACAAAATTAAAACAAAAAAATTAGTGTCACCGAAAGATACATATTCGGTAGAATTGTATACCGATATCGTTATTAATTCATGAGTTTTTTACGATTAATTGATTTTCGGAAGTGGTATCTTCTGAAACATACACACTGACGGACATTTGAAAACAAACCTTCCAACGAAAAATACTAAAAAAGGACAGATAAGCTGTATTTACTATTTAATAATTTTTTATTGTATTTTTATATGACCTCAACATTGTTTCATAAAATGGTTAATGAATTATTACTTAATTGATCTTACTTTTTTGATCTTACCTTTTGAACAGTTTATTGGAATACGGTAATATTCGTAATTACAATAAATTAAATTAAAATTTTTTCAGGATAACAAATTGTTTATTAAAATATTTCTGTTTCAAGAGTAAATTAATGTTTAAAAAATCAATCATTAAAAAAATTAATTCATATTTTAAGAAAACATAAAATTAGAAAGATAAAGCTTTTTGTAAACTAAAGCCTTTCAGACTTGGATTACTATTGTGTATTCTTATTATAAAACAATTAGGGACCGTAACAGTTATGACTTCGGTAAAATACAGTGCCGGCAAAATAATAGAAAACAAATTTTTTCATTAGAAATTCTATTTTCTGCCAAACTATATGGTAGAATTTGATGATCAATATCTCAAATGATAGCTATTTATGTATACTTTCTTTTGCTACTCAGATATTATAGCTTTTTGGACTCGGGAAATTTTTATTTAAATTTAACTCAAATAGGCCTTGGAAAAAATAATAGAAACATGTTATTATAATGCATTTGGTATGGAACAAAATATTTAAAAAATATTTGTTTTTCATTTCTTTTAGCGAAGAATTGCGGCTTGAAAATTTGCCATATATAGATATCGAAAACTTACCAATTTTCAGAGAAAATGTTGGCCAATTTTACACTACGTAACAATTCAAACACTTTAGAACGAATAAAAATGAACTTTATATAATGGCATTTTAATAAAAAGTTTAAAATATGCTAAAATAAGTTAAATTTAATACAAAAAAGGCAAATAAGTATCGAAAATTCTTAACGAATCAAAATGTCATAGGGGACTAAATATTGGAAATTAATATCAATATAGAAACCATTTTTTATATGGTATAAAATCCGACAAACAAAATTTTTTCATTCCTTTTTTATAAAAAAAGGCTTATTATATTAGACTTCTAAAAAATATAATCAAATGAAAACTTTTTCAAATATTTTGGTTTTATATTGATTTTAAATTTTAATATAATAGAATATATCGTTTCTAAGATGATATTAATCCCAAATTCTAAACCATCTATTGCGTTATTATTTGTTTTGAATTTTCGATGCTTATTGGACTTTTTGTATTTAATTTTACTTATTTTAGCATATTTTTGACATTTCATCAAAATACCTTGATGTTTAATTTAATTTTTACCCATTCTAATGTGTTCGAATTGTTAAGTAGTGCAGGTTCCAGATACACAATAAAATGCTCATAAAACCAACTTAAATACGAAAAAATTAAGCAAAAAGTCTATTTAACTTTCAGAAATACATTTCTATTGAAAAAATTTAAAAAGAAATATTTTTTAAATATTTTCTTACATAACCAATTCATTACAATAACTTGTTTCTATTATTATTCCCAACGCCTATTTCAGTTAAATTTTAATTATTTAATTTAATTAAATTTTAAATGTTAATTATTGTATTTAATTGTATAATATAAATATATAAATATTAAATCACGAATTTTGGAATATTTTTGTTGTAGAACAACATTGATTCTTTATTACTCCTCCATACAAACAGGTAATCGGTCAATGATTTTAGTATTTTTGGAACGCTGTATGAAAAAAATGTCTGTAATAAGAAAATATGTTTTTGAAGAAGTTCATATTTTATACAATAAATGTTCATACTTATTTGTATCTCCTCTGATTATCGATCCACGTTTTAATTTGTGCAGGAGTTCTATTTTTTAGGACAGGACATTTGATAATAGCATGAAGACACTCTGTAAGGCTAGGAAGTTTTTCCAAATCTCTCAAACATCCAAAACAGGAATTAATTGCGTCCCTTTCCTCTTGAGACCATCGGGAACGTTTGGTTGTTCCAAAAGGTGATGCTTGAAAATAAAGTTTAATTAATTATTAATGTTATGAATAAATTTTTTCTTAAAATTATATTTTATTATTATTTAATAAAATGTTTATATTGTATCTTAACACAAATTATTTTAGTTAAATTTTATAATTTTAATTCTATAATTTTCTAATTTAATCAATATCTACACTGAAAAAATTCCATGCTTAACATTACGAAAATAAATTTCGTAACAACTTATTAAAAAAATACTTCGTAAATTTCACAATTTTTATTCTAAAATTACAAAAATATTTTCAAACTACAAAAATAATTTCTTCGTAAAATAAACAAATTATTTCTAAAATTATATAAAATAATTTTGCATTATACTAAAATATTTCGTACAATTTCGTATATATAACGAAACAATTTCGTGGTGTAAAACAACGAAGCCTTTCGTACAATGTACGACATTTTTCGTATATATTAGGCATGGATTATTTTCAGTGTACGTAAATACTTACTACTTCTTCTTTTCTTCTTCTTCTTCTTAGGTACTTCTTCTGACATACTACTCTCGTCTGAAGCTTCGGATTTATTAGAATCTATATAACTATTTGAGTTAAATTCAGTTCTTGTCTCAAGCTCCCCCTCCTCGTCAACCATATTTTCAAACACTTCATCACCCTCTTCATTTTCTTCTCCAATGGCGTTCATCAATAACTTAGAAACACATGTTATTTCCGATACTGGAACTGACATTCTATAAAAATTTTTGTGGATATCTTTATGATGTCCCATGAAATTGGCTAATCTGTCTACAGAAGCTTCTTCTACATTTAGCAGGGATGTATGTGTTGCTATATGTTTTCGTAATGTGGTACCTCTTAAACTTTCTGGTATCCTTGCGCCACATTCCATTGAAAATTGTTTTAAAAGTGGACAAGCCCGAAAATATTCCTTGGATAAAGTTGATGTGCTCCTTTTACAAAAAATGTATTCATTGCTAGAAGTTATCCCTGCAGCCTCTCTATGTTTTATTATCTCTTCAATGGCTTGAACACATAGCGGGTTTAACAACACACTCACCGTTCTTCCCAACTTCCCTCTGATGGAAATTCGAACAAATTGTTTAGCAAAATCTAGAGATTCTTCTGATATAGTCTTTAAAATATCTTCTTCTATATTTCCAGTTATACCTTCTTTATTTTTATAATTAGAGAGTGTCAATCGCTCGATTTCACCCGCTCTTCTCCTATTGAAGATTTGAATAAAAATCAGAGTAGATTTAACTAGCTCCATCCACGATTGGTACGAAAATTTTTTTTCCAAAACTTTAATTTCTTCAATTATTTTATTTTTCAAGTATAAATATAATTTCTTTATATCTTCTCTGGAGGGCAAAACAGTTTTTTTATTTCGTTTTTGGTTTGCCTGATCCTCACATGCCTTTTTGTTTATAAGGGTGGGTATTTCTTCCTCCCACAAAAGTAAAAAATCGTCCAAATCCTTTTTTAAATCTTCATCCTGTATTTTTATTAACTCTGTCCTTTGCTTGTATCCACATTTTTTTATTAGTGAGGTTAAGTGCTGTGCTACCGCAGGAGTTTTAAACCACATTAAGCTATTATCCCAATTAGCTACTTTTCGCAAAGCTTTTATACAAGCGTCGAAGAATTGCGGCTTGAAAATTTGCTTTAGTTCATTTATATCAGGGCAAAACTCATTAATGGCTATTTTAAAGCGACCTAATAATCGCAAGTGCGAACGTACCATGTCATGTTGATGAGTTAAAGTATATTTTTCCGCTAATTTATTTCCAAACTTAATTATAAGATCATCATACCGGATGACTCTAGTAATTTTATCATCTCTTAGAATTGGGAAAATTTTGGTTTTTAGTATTTCGTTTGCTCCTTCATGTATATATTGTGTAAGTCTTCTACCAGCAATTAAATTTGTTCGATCATTTTTACTAAAAACTCCACATTTACGTAAATGTAATCTTAAAGTTTTTTTAGAATAAAAACCTTTGCACTTTTTGCAACAAACGTAATCATTGGCTTCGTTATTTACTTTAGACTGCTGCTGCCTGGTACAAATAAGTATACCAGTATTTAGCGATTTTGTTGTGTTATGTAAATAATCCCCATCTTTTCGCAATTGATCTATTAACTTCACGCGCTCTCTGTTTTTTTTTGGTAAATGTAAAATCGCCTTTACTTGTTTTTCTGACTTATGTTTATGTATAAGATGCCTTGCTAATTTTGTTTGTAATGTCTTACAAAAGATACAAAAATGTTTTTTAGACTTGCTGCTAACCGGAATATTTACGCTAGAAATGTGTAAAGGTGACGTTATCTCTTGCACACTTTTTTCCGTTTCCTGCATAGGCGTGTTATTAAAATTTAAGCTTTCAATTGTATTATCATTTGTTGTGTCAGGCAAATATTCAGACAAGCTCTCATTTGTTACAAACGCACACTCTTTAGATATGTTATGTATTTCAACGCTACTATCAATACTATTTGAGACGTTTACTGTATAATTTTGTTTAAAACTGCTTATTTCAGCGCTATTGTAAGAATTTGTTTCAATAAGTAGGCTTGAATTTAACGTATAGTCTGAAACTGGAATACTTTCGTTGGACTTTGCTATTGTACTCCCATTTGTAGAATCAGCAAAACATTCATTTAAGCTTTCGGAGAAGTTATTTATTTCGGTACTATTATGAGCTATGTCAAATTCTATATATGTATTTGAGGGGTTTGGTGTTATATTTTCATTAGAGGCATTAGATAATTTAGTCCTGTTGTGTCCTGTTGTTTTAAAACCTTCGTTATTCGAAACAGATATAGACGATTTTTTACGACTGATTTTATATTGGAGCTTTGGAGATTTTTCAGTAGGTGTAATTGATGATCGTGACTTTTTACGATTTAAAGTTTTAGAAATTCTTTTAATTTTCTTTTTATTTGTTTCGGAAATTAAAGGAAACGGTTCAGAACGTACATCATAACTTGGTTTTGTTTCATGTAGTATAATTGGAGATTTATTAAATGATTTCGATGTAATTGCTGGCAGTTTTTTTAAACGAACTATTGGTTGATCTGAAACTATAATACTTTGGTTGCAATTAACATTTGTTCTCCCATTTGTTAAATCTGGTGTTATATTTTCATCAGAGGCATTAGGTAAATTGGCGCTGTTGTGGGAATCTGTTTGAAAACATGAACCTTCAATAAATGTGATATCTGAAGATATATTTTCAACTTTGTTGACTGGAATTTTCTTTTGAATTGTATCGGAAACCTTATTTATAGATTCGTTACTCGATATAGAAGATTTTTCAGTAGGTGTAATTGACGATCGTGACTTATATGATGAAGTATATTTCCTATTTAGAGTTTTAGAAATTCTCTTTGTTTTCTTTTTACTTGTTTTAGAAATTGAAGATACCGGTTTAGAACTTACATCATAACTATTTTTGGTTTCATGTGGTACAATTGAAGATTTATAAAACGAATTTGATGAAATTGCAGGTAACTTTTTTAAATGAACTATTGGAAGATCTGTGTATAAAATAGATTTAAAAATAATAGACAAATATATGTATATCATGATGAAATGATTCTCTTTGTTCTTATAAAACATTAGAAGCCATATTCACAATCCATAAATATTTTCTATGTAAAAAAATACATATTAATTTTATGAGGTTTGTGTAAAATCCATGTAAAAAAAATATATTAATATAATCTGTATGAGATATGAAAATCAACATCTTTTGTTTTTTCCATGCGTTTATTTAAATTTTCTATAATATTGAACCAAGAAACGCAAAATTAAACACGTTCATTCAACTGTTACTTTTACGATTTTCTGAATTATATAACCTAGAAATGTGATTTTTATTAGTCGGCAACTAATTCTTTGTATAAATACGAAGTTTAAAGTTTTCCAAAATCTCCAAATTCATTAATTACAGTTTCGATTTTCGTGGTTCAAAATTCATAGTTTTAAGGATTTTTTTGATATCGTATATTTTCTAACCTATTTAGCTGGTTTTAATAATCTATATATATAAAAGAGTAGCGTTACTGACTGACTGATTCATCATCGCACAGCCCAAACGACTAAACCTAGAATCATGAAATTTTGACCATAGATGTCTTTTTGGATATGTAGATCCACTAAGGAGGGATTTTTGGATATTTTTATATTTGGGGGTAAAAAAGGGGAAAAACGGGTAAAACTGGTTTTCGAGAAAAATTTTAAATGTATCTGTATCTACTCTTAAAAAGAGCAGATGGGTGTCTGGTACTTTTTCGAAATTGGTACTTTTAAGGGGTGAAAATGTGTAACAAAGGTAATTTTGGTACATTTTTTGGCCCTTTATAACTTTTTAACAAATAAACATAATTAAATTTTTGTAAATATTTTGGATACATCTTTCAAAATTAGGAGACACCTGTTTCGTACTTTTTTAAAATTCAGTCCTTTTTGGGTGTAAAAGGGAGAAAACTGTATTTTGGTACTTTTTTCTAGCACATTAAAACTTTTTCGATTTATTGTTAGTTATTGATTTATTAATGTAATTATGAACTATCACTGCAATATATTTAAAAAATACTTTTGCTATTTCACTGAGGAGAAAAAAGTACCAAAAAGGGGAAAAATGGAAAGTATAGATTTATTCAAACTAATTGGCAAATTGGACACTTTTATAAAATTTGAAAAAATTTTAATTTACTCACAATAAATAACCTATTGGTGTACTACTTTGGAATTCTGGTATTAAGACCTATGTAGGGTCCAAATTCGAGTAAATATTTTGGTATTTTTGAAAACATAATATTTCTTGAGCGAATTAATGAAAATTTATATCGTTTCGAAATAGGGGAAAATGGTACACTTTTTATTAGTACATAAAGAAAGAAATTATTCGACTATTTCATCGTTCTAATCGTAAGAAAGGGAAATTTTTTCGTTCCTCAAATGGTACTTTTTGCATTATATTTAATATTGAAATAGAAAAACATATAATAATAAAAACTTTGTTTTTATTTTTGTATTTAATTTTGATTGGGTAGCGAAGCACCCAGGGTACGCTAGTAGAACATAAAGGGAGCTTCGCTTCCCTAGTCGAAATGAAATTAAAAATTTAGATTATAAAAATAAGTATGTAAAAACAAAAACTGTAAAATAAAGAAACAAAACACCATCAGATATATAATGCACTCTCCTCTCTATTTTCAATAAGCTGTGTTGTTTACTTTTTTGTTTTGTTTCTTGCTTTGTTTGTTTTTTACTTCAAGCATACGTGTGACTTTTGTTTCTATGTATTAGTAACAACTTTAAACGCTTATAACTCCCAAAAAATCTGAACCGATCTTATTAATATATATATTGTGCACATCTGCGAACAAATACCTTTAAATTTATATATTTTTTGCCAAGATCGGATATATACTATAAGAGTAAAAGGGGTCACAAAAATCGCCTTGCCTATTAATTATATAGATTAGTCTCTAATTAATACATATGTGTTAGTTTGACAATAATTTGTTAAAAATATAGTTTTAACATAAGGATAATTATATCAAAAAGTCCTTTAGTCAAGAAATAAATGAAAATTGCCAAATTTCAATTTTGCAATTTTATCAATAACCGAATTTTATATCAATAACCGATTAAGAAAAACTTATTATTTAACAGTAAAATTACTGTATACTTATTGAAATATTAATTCAATATTTTTATAATAAATTTTCTTTCTGTATTAATTCCTTAATTACTTTTCTATAATGAAGAATATTTATTGGATGATTTTTATAACAATACTTTAGAAACGTTGTAATAAGTTATTCTGATTTACCTACTTCTAGAATGGGTTCATGCAGAAACATTACTGAAAAGAAATCTTGAAAATATTGACATCGCCTTTACTTCTACATCCAGTTTTGGGGAACAGTGTTATGTTTCTAAAGTATTTCTAATAAGTTCTTCAGCTACATAGTTATACACTAGTTCATTGGAACGTATGAATTCTGGAACTAGTTAATAAATCTCAAAAACATAAATTAAATTAAATTAACTTAATTTCTTTATATTTCACATGAAAATAAAAAATTTGTAATATTTGAGAAAAAACTTAATTAACAAACTTTAATAGAACTGAATATAAAGAAGTGGAAAATTATAATTTTGTTTGTTATAGGAAGAAAAATATTGTAGAAAAGAAATAATATTATTAAAAAACATTCACTTTCCTTTTATTCGATTAACCGAATAATTTTGAATTATCCGATTATTAACCGGCCAATTTAAAATCTGAAATAATTATTTGTCGAATAAACCGAATAAGACAAAAACCGTAATAATTGAATGCTCTAATATATACCATGTCAAATCTAATACTTATTGAAAAAATCTTAAAAAATATGAATTTTTAACCTCGACTAAATCCAAACCGTAACGAATTTGGATATTTTGGAGAACTAAAAATTTCGTATGCATGTGAAAAATGTATGTACCGAATTTCGTCGAAATAGGAGATGTACAAGTTTAAAATCATAATTTTAGTTTCTAAATTTTATGAAATTGCCTTATATTAATGAGAATCATTTCATTGTAATATAACATAATGTACGCATGTATGTATTTACCATTTTCTGCAGCCGATCTGTCTTTTTGTATTTTATTAATTTTAGGTAAATATGTTTGTACTTTAATCGGAGAATTACTAGAAATTAGAGTTGACTTATTTGTTTTTTCATCCACATTTTTAGTTGATACTGTGATTTTCGCAGAAGACAATTTTGTGGTAAATTTTGAAATTGACGACGGAGATGGATTTAATGTCTTATTTTTAAAAGAGGTAACAATAGAAGAAGCAACAGATGTAGTAATAGAATGTGAGTCGAACTTTTGTTCTTTAATTTTATTTTCCATTTTTTGTTCCATATTTTTGTTAACGACTTTTTTTAAAAAGGACGATGAAATGTTTCGATGTTTAAATATATATAAGGATAATTTCTATAAACTATGAATTTTTTCACCTTATAAGAGTAGTTACTTTTTTCAATTAAGTTAAGTATAAAGTCTTATCGGCTAAAAAATTAAACATTAACTTAATTATAGAAATATATAATTATAAATATACATATATAAGTTTCACTTACTGCGTGTTGACATGACCAAAGCAAAGTATTTCCCAAATTTAGTCATCTCACAATTAGCTTAGGCCTAAAAATCTGGACAACGAAAACAGGTTACATTCCCAAAAGCGTTTTATTATTGTTGTTTCTGCATTTGTCTAGAAAAAATAATAATAATATCAAAAACCGTAAAGAATATAAACTATAGTCGGACGTGGCCGACCATATGATACCCTACACCAATTGCGAATATTGAATGTGATTAATTTTCAATTATAAAGCATTTATGCTGAATTTTACATAGGTTCTAATTAATGTCTGTTCATGTACGGTTGTATGCTGACTAGGAGGCATGTGGACATTTAAGTCATTTTCTGAAGGGGCCTTTGTATGAGGCCCGATCATTACGAAAATCGACATTGTTATTTATAATTATAGAAAACTTAATTATGCTGATTTTTAGATAAATAGTGGTATATTAGACGTAGTTAAAAGATAAAAGCCCAAATCGGAAGGTCCGGTTGTGTGGCTAGGGCAGAAGTTGAGCCGATCCGTATAAAATTTATGTTTATATAAAACTTATTTGTGCCAAATTTCATCGTGGTACTAGTGTTTATAAGTGAGTTGTGGGCATTCAAGTCATTTTCAGAAGGGGACTTTGTATAGGGGATAGGGTCAAATGAGGCCCGAAAATCGACAGTGTTATTTATAATTATAGAAAACTTAATTATGCTGATTTTTAGATAAATAGTGGTATATTAGACGTAGTTAAAAGATAAAAAGCCCAAATCGGAAGGTCCGGTTGTGTGGCTAGGGCAGAAGTTGAGCCGATCCGTATAAAATTTATGTTTATATAAAACTTATTTGTGCCAAAATTCATCGTGATACTAGTGTTTATAAGTGAGTTGTGGGCATTCAAGTCATTTTCAGAAGGGGACTTTGTATAGGGGATAGGGTCAAATGAGGCCCGAAAATCGACAGTGTTATTTATAATATCAAACTTAATTATACTGATTTTTGGAAATATAGTAGTATATTTGACGTAGTTATGAGCTAAAAGGCCCAAATCGGTTGGGGTCTGGTTGTATGTGAGCTAGAGAAAAATTTGGTCCGATCCTTATAAAATTAATGTCGGGATTTATGTTTATAAAAAACTTTTTTGTTCCAAATTTCATGGTGATACTAGTATTTATAAGTGAATTTTGGACATTCAACTCATTTTCTAAAGGGGGCTTTGTATGGGGGCTAGGGTTAAATGAGGCCCGATCATGGCGAAAATTGACAGTGTTATTTATGATTATATCAAACTTAGTTGTGCCAATTTTTGGAAAGACAGTATTATATTCATCGTAGTTATGAGCTAAAAGGCCCAAATCGGTAGGTCCGGTTGTATGCGGGCTATGGTAAAAATTGGTCCGATCCTGATAAAATTTATTGTCGGTATTTATGTTTATATAAAACTTATTTGTGGCAAATTTCATCGTGATACTACTGTTTATAAATGAATTGCGGACGTTCAAATCATTTCCTGAAGGGGGCTTTGTATGAGGGCTAGGGTCAAATGATGCCCGATCATGACGACAATTTACAGTGTTCTTTAGGATTACACCAACCTTAGATGTGCCAATTTTTGGGAAGATAGTAGTATATTTGACGTAGTTATAAGCTAAAAGGCCAATATCGGAAGGTCCGGTTATATGGGGGCTTGGGCCGATCCTTATAAAATTTGTTGTCGGAATTAATGTTTATATAACTTATTTGTGCCAAATTTCATCGTGATACTAGTGTTTATAAGTGGGACATTCAAGTCATTTTCTGAGGAGGACTTTGTAGGGGGGCTAGGGTCAAATAATGCCCAATCTTTATGAAAATCGCTATAGTTATTAAGACTTATATAAGACAAAGTTTTGCCAATTTTTATAGAGATAGTAGATCATTTAACATAATAAGGTCAAAAGCCCTATTCGAGGGGTCCGGTAGTATGGGGGTTAGGTGAAATAATGGACCGATTGCAACCATTTTCACTAGCGTTCGTCCTTGGACCAAAAGAAGCGCACGTTCCAAATTTCATCGCACAAGGTTTACATGGACACACAGACAGACAGACGGATATAGCTTAATCGACTCAGGAAGTGATTCTGAGCAGATTGGTATACTTTAATGCCAGTATACCAATATTTTTGGGTGTTACAAACATCAGCACAAACGCATAACTATAGTGGTGTAGGGTATAATAAATGGTTTGCTTCTAGTTCAGCTAAAAGTTTAAATTTCATTGTAATTAAAATTGTTGTACAACTTACCAAAAACTGGACTTCACCCAAACGTTAAAAAACTTAAATACTTCAAAAAGAATTAAACGATAAACAGCACAAGTTCAGCAATTTTATGTTTTTTATATATTGTGTTTATATCCTAATATATTTTTCACAGATTATCACCACTAAATACAATGCACAAATTTGTGGTACAATGATGTTTTAGAAATACCGTTATAATAACCGCTTGGGTATTGCTAAAAAATAATCAGTATTCTTAAGTAATTGGTATTTAAAAATCAAAAGAGGGGTGCCATACTATGTTTTTTCATAATCAATATAAGCAAAAAAAGCTTGTATAAACATAGATGACATGAATATTAAAATATATACATATTTTTTGGTTTATATTTATAATATATTTAACTCTCCATATATAACTCTCCAATCTTGAAAAAAATTTATCACTTATAAAGCGTTCAATTCTATAATTTGTGGTATATGTCTTTTGGGCAACAAATTTTTGGTTTTGGAGTTATAGAATTTTAAAGTTTATACATGTATACGCAATTTTTTCTATATTCATCAACCGATTCTAACAATGTATATATCATCAGAAAGAGCTTTAGAATACCTTTTCAACGATATATAATATGACCTCATTTAATAACTCAATGAAGACCAATCGCACAAAAAGTATTTTTTATATAAAATTTTGTGATAAAAGTGCCGTTTTTCACAAATCCATCGAAATAACGGTACCGATAAATATAAAACAAATTGTAGAAAAGATTTCAAGCATTCTTTTGATGTATAGATATACACGTATATCTTAATAAATGGGGATGATATTGTTGTTTAAAAGGGTAAAGTATATAAAATTAATGTTTTTTTATTCGATATTAGTTAATTGTTGTTGTTTTTTTTAGAGGAACAAAGTTCATACCAGACTATAAATTATTGAAAAGTACATCGAAATACCTTTCCAACGATGTATAATATTAAGGATTAAAATCTTATATTATGTCTCAAAACAATAACATTCTACAAAAAAGTGAAAAATCGCGCGAAATTTTTAAAATAATTTTTTACACACAATACTCATAGAAGTCATACACTATTTACTTATTTTCCTAATTGCAAAAAGTCGACTTTTCATAAAATGCAGAGTCGACTTTCATAATTTGCAAAATTAAAAGTTATTAATTTTGCATAAATAATACCATAATACTTACAGAAATCATACCGAATAAAACACTCCATTTACTTATTTTTCTAATTTTTTCTCTTTAAAATTTTGTTAATTTTTTAAATGCATTTTGTGGTAACAACACCGTAGTGTTTTACTAAATCATATGTATAGACTTATTCTGATACTACAACACATGAAAACAATGATGTCCCTGATTGTAATCGGGGAAATGAAATTACCCCATGTCTATATTAGACAATTATTTATCACGGCACTTGACAAAACGTCGGCAGAAAAATTTTCAATTTTTTTTTTATGTTAATGAATAGGGGTAACAAAATGCTGATATTATCACGACAACTCACAGATAATTTTGCTGAAATAATGCTATATTTTATTAAAACAAATAAAATTAAATGCAAATTTTGTAAATAAACACTAATTTCACTAAAACTTATGTTAAAAATCAAATTTAATTGCACAAAAACAAAATTCTAAACAAATTTTACAATAAAATGACGTTTGTTATCAAGACAACGTTGTCTAAACAATTGTTTAGACAACACTGTCATAACGACGTTATAACGCTAATAAATACCGTCTGTACCTGCTAATTTTTTATCATGATAACAATTTGACGTTTAGCATAATAAATATTTGTCTTACATAGACACGGGGTTAGGCATATCTATATATATAAAATTGAATGCGACGTGCCACGCCCACTTTCAAAATAAGTATTAAAAGTCGCATATCTCAGAAACTGTATGGACAACTTTGACATCCATAAGAATATTTTTGGAAAAAATGGGCGGAATGGCTATAGTGGGCGTGGCACCTTCTATATGAAAACACTCTATACTTATTATTCTAATTTTTTCGCTTTAAAATTTTGTTAATTTTTTAAATGCATTTTGTGGTAACAACACTGTAGTGTTTTACTAAATCATGATTATATATATAGATTTATTGTGATATTACAACACATGAAAACAATGATGTCCCCGATTGTAATCGGGGAAATGAAATTAGGCATATGGAATATAAACAAGCAATTCTAATACATATCAGATATTTTGAACATAAAAAAGAAAAAATTCGGAAACTCAACAATTTTTAAATTGCAAAAAGTCGACTTTTCATAAAATGCAGAGTCGACTTTCATAATTTGCAAAATTAAAAGTTATTAATTTTGCATAAATAATACCATAATACTTACAGAAATCATACCGAATAAAACACTCCATTTACTTATTTTTCTAATTTTTGATACATATCTGATACATATCAGATATTTTGAACATAAAAAAGAAAAAAGATATTTAAAAAAATTCGGAAATTCAACAATTTTAAAATTGCGAAAAGTCGACTTTTCATAAAATGCAGAGTCGACTTTCATAATATGCAAAATTAAAAGTCATTAATTTTGCATAAATAATACTCATAGAAATCATACCGAATAAAACACTCTATTTACTTATTATTCAAATGTTTTCTCTTTAAAATTTTGTTAATTTTTTAAATGAATTTTGTAGTAACAACACTAGTGTTTTACTAAATCACGATTATAGGTCTGTTCGCGTACTCAATAATTTGTAACAATTTGTAACAATTTGCAACTATTGTTACTGGATTCCGTTCGCGTACTTTTGAAAACTTGCAACGAGAGAGTAAGAGAGCGATAAAAATGACAGTTCGATGATAGAGAATTTTTTTATTTTACTGGATATTTTTTACTGGGGAAAAAATATCCAGTAAAATATGTTCACAACATATGGTTGAAATATGAATACGTAAACAAACCAAAGAAAACAAAAATTTGGTAAATTTTACATTTTTTGAAAGAAATATAAAAATTAATAACACACGAATATTAAAAAATTATTTGTAATTAGATTTATTCTAATTTTATTTATCATAAATTAGTTTTTAAAAGAGTTTGTTTGTTGTGAAAAATCATAACAAATATTGTCAATCTAGCGTTTTTAAAACCACTTAGTTTGTTTTTCTCTTAGCGATTTTATGTAAATTTTTATTTTACTAATATGTTTGTAACATGAAGTTTTAAAACAATAATATATTTGTAATGATATTACATGTTTTGTTAACTTTAAATATCCATTTATTTATAAGAAAAATCATAATTTCAATTGTTTGTTTTTTGGTGTTTTGTTAGCGATTGAGATTTCAGCAAAAGGGCATTACTAATCTTTGTTTATAAACAAAACTTGCAATTTTTTTTTACAAATTTGCGTTCGCGTACTTTTTTGGATATTTTTTTGATTGAGAGTAAATTAAAAATTACTCTCTATCATAAAGTTACTGGATATTTTTTACTGGAAAGTACGCGAACAGACCTTATATGTATAGACTTATTCTGATATTACAACACATGAAAACAATGATGTCCCCGATCGTAATCGGGGAAATGAAATTAGGCATATAGAATATAAACTAGCAATTCTGATACATATCAGATATTTTGAACATAAAAAAGAAAAAAGATATTTAAAAAAATTCGAAAATTCAACAATTTTAAAATTGCAAAAAGTCGACTTTTCATAAAATGCAGAGTCGACTTTCATAATATGCAAAATTAAAAGTCATTAATTTTGCATAAATAATACTCATAGAAATCATACCGAATAAAACACTCTATTTACTTATTATTCAAATGTTTTCTCTTTAAAATTTTGTTAATTTTTTAAATGAATTTTGTAGTAACAACACTAGTGTTTTACTAAATCACGATTATATGTATAGACTTATTCTGATATTACAACACATGAAAACAATGATGTCCCCTATCGTAATCGGGGAAATGAAATTAGGCATATAGAATATAAACTAGCAATTCTGATACATATCAGATATTTTGAACATAAAAAAGAAAAAAGATATTTTAAAAAATTCGGAAATTCAACAATTTTAAAATTGCAAAAAGTCGACTTTTCATAAAATGCAGAGTCGACTTTCATAATTTGCAAAATTAAAAGTCATTAATTTTGCATAAATAATACTCATAGAAATCATACCGAATAAAACACTCTATTTACTTATTATTCAAATGTTTTCTCTTTAAAATTTTGTTAATTTTTTAAATGAATTTTGTAGTAACAACACTGTAGTGTTTTACTAAATCACGATTATATGTATAGACTTATTCTGATATTACAACACATGAAAACAATGATGTCCCCGATCGTAATCGGGGAAATGAAATTAGGCATATAGAATATAAACTAGCAATTCTGATACATATCAGATATTTTGAACATAAAAAAGAAAAAAGATATTTTAAAAAATTTGGAAATTCAACAATTTTAAAATTGCAAAAAGTCGACTTTTCATAAAATGCAGAGTCGACTTTCATAATTTGCAAAATTAAAAGTTATTAATTTTGCATAAATAATACTCATAGAAATCATACCGAATAAAGCACTCCATTTACTTATTTTTCTAATTTTTTCTCTTTAAAATTTTGTTAATTTTTTAAATGCATTTCATGGTAACAACACTGTAGTGTTTTACTAAATCATGATTATATGTATAGACTTATTCTGATATTACAACACATGAAAACAATGATGTCCCCGATTGTAATCGGGATTATATTTTAAGTAAATTATATTTGACACGTTCCAAAATCGGTCATTAATTACTCATTGCCCCATATATATACATGTATGTATATTTCCCTGGAATGTATGTATATTCACACATTAACATGACTAAAAAAATTTTCTAAAATTTAGCCCCCAAATAAGTTTGAGTTTTAGAAGATGTCTAACTTGCATATTTATTTAAATACATTAGTACTGAGATGACATCTATAACAAAATACTTCTGAAATATTTGAGTAGCGTTAACATTTTATAACTAACGAAATCGCTGAAATACAATTATGTTTTAATTATATTACTCATAAAAGTTCTTACATATGCTTTCCATTTGACCAAATATTCCATAGCCTACCATCTTTTGCGAAGTCCTTAGTTGACACACAGTTATAATGTTTGATATATGAACAATGACTTAAATCTTTATTTA